GGTTTCTCTTAATGCGCAGATTACCATGGAATTCGTAGAAGACCCTAATGAAGGAGTGGAGAAACATGTGGCCCTCTAGGTGTTGCCAGACTCTAACTTCCCTCAGCAGCAGCTGGCAGGGTAGTTGGTCAGGTAAGATGTCAGCTTTGTAGTTCAGCGACATCAGGGGAGTGACAAGTATCCCACTCCTGATTTAGGGTCTGAAGGCAGGTGGCGGGGAGACACAGACACCAAATAATAAATAATAATAATAAAATTTTATTTATACCCCGCCCTTCCCGGTTCAAAAACCGGGCTCAGGGCAGCTAACAACAAATTTAAAACACTTAATTATAAAAAGCAGCATAAAATACAGTATAAAAACATGAATAACAATAAAATTCAAAAATCAATTTAGGGGAAATAAGCATTAGATAATCCCCAGGGCTAGCTTGCTGAATTGGTCCTACTTGGGCCAGCGAAGAGGCCAGGGGAGAATTAGCTGTGGGGTCTCAGAGCGGGTGATCTTCATAAAAGGGGAGGGGGAGGGAAGAGAAGGGAAATAAAAGATCAGGCTGAATTCAAATTTAAGGCCAGGCGGAATAGCTCTGTCTTACAGGCCCTTTGGAAGGAGGTTAAATCCTGAAGGGCCCTGGTCTCATGGGACAGAGCATTCCACCAGGTCGGAGCCATCACTGTGAAGGCCCTGGCCCTGGTGAAGGATAGTCTGACTTCCTTAGGGCCCGGGACCTCTAAACTATGATTGTTCATGGACCTTAAGGTCGATCATCTTCCACATGAGCCTGTCCTATTGGTAAGATCATCACTCACATTCCTAAGACACGAGACCATAAGGAGATCCTGCTGGATCAGCTCAATGGCCCATCTGGTGCAGCATCCTTTTCTCACAGTGGCTGACCATATGCCCGTGGGAAACTAGCAAGAAGGATCCAAACACAAGAGCACTCTACCCTCCTGCGGTTTCCAGGAACTGGTATTCAAAAGCATTGATGCGTCCAACCGTGCAGTAGCCTGATCTCTGATGGTGGAGATACCTGGAGATTGTGGAAAGGGCTTTTCAGCAGTGCTGTGTCCCCCAGAAAGCAGCGCCAGGTGATGAATTTAATTACTTTTAGGCACCAGACCAAGGCCTGCTTATTTATTGGTAAAGGGACCCCTGACCGTTAGGTCCAGTTGCGAACAACTCTGGGGTTGCGGCGCTCATCTCGCTTTATTGGCCGAGGGAGCCGGCGTACAGCTTCCGGGTCATGTGGCCAGCATGACTAAGCCGCTTCTGGCAAACCAGAGCAGTGCACGGAAATGCCGTTTACCTTCCCGCTGGAGCGGTACCTATTTATCTACTTGCACTATGACGTGCTTTCGAACTGCTAGGTTGGCAGGAGCAGGGACCAAGCTACAGGAGCTCACCCCGTCGCAGGGATTCGAACTGCTGACCTTCTGATCGGCAAGTCCAAGGCTCTGTGGTTTAACCCACAGCGCCACCTGCGTCCCGCTTATTTATTGAGGCACTTTTTAAATGGCTAAGTGGCATTTGCTGCTATCTTGCTACTGTTAGCGATTCATTATTATTATTATTTTATCTGTTGCGCTGGTTTTTAATTCACCTGTTAAAAATGCTTTTAAAAATATCACGCAAGGGTTTTTGCTTTTGCAAATTAAGACTGTTGCACGGCTTTAAAATTATCAATCTAAAAATTTCTAAGCTGGTTTTGCTACCTCCCTCTACAACAGATGAACCGTAAGAACTCATGACATGGAATCTGCAGATTGGGGAAGGGGGGCGGAGCGGGATAAGCCCTGTCTGGCATATTATTCAAAAGGACATGTTAATCCTACACAGATTTTCCAGTTAGGTTTTGCTCCTGATTTGTAACAATAGAGTGGCCACACAGCCGATTTAACACCAGCTTCCCCATGAGTTTATAAAATTATTCGCTTTGGAGATTTTAGGTTTTTTTTAAAAAAATATCCTACAAATTTTGGAGAAGACATGCCTAAAATAACAGGGCTCCTGCTCTCAGGTAGATGGTGAAAGAGTTAGAATTACTTGCCCAGAGAGCAGCCCACATGCATCCTGCTTGAGTTGTTAAGAACACAGAAAACTGCCATATTCTGTTGTTGTTTAGTCGTTTAGTCGTGTCCGACTCTTTGTGACCCCCTGGGCCAGAGCACGCCAGGCACTCCTGTCTTCCACTGCCTCCCGCAGTTTGGTCAAACTCAGGCTGGTAGCTTCGAGAACACTGTCCAACCATCTCATCCTCTGTCGTCCCCTTCTCCTTGTGCCCTCCATCTTTCCCAACATCAGGGTCTTTTCCAGGGAGTCTTCTCTTCTCGTGAGGTGGCCAAAGTATTGGAGCCTCAGCTTCACAATCTGTCCTTCCAGTGAGCACTCAGGGCTGATTTCCTTCAGAATGGAGAGGTCTGATCTTCTTGCAGTCCTCTTAAGAGTCTCCTCCAACACCATAATTCAAAAGCATCAATTCTTCAGCGATCAGCCTTCTTTATGGTTCAGCTGTCACTTCCATACATCACTACTGGGAAACCATCATCTAATGCAGTGTTGTCTACTCTGACTGGCAGAGTCTCAGGCAGAGGTAATTCATTCTTTGGCTACTTGGCCCTGTTAACTGGAAATGAGGGGACTGAGCCTGGGGCCTTTTGCATTCAAGCAGGGCTCTACCACTAAACTGTATTCCCTCCTACTGTTCTGGGTGTGTCCTGTTTGGAAGCAGGCAGTGCAGGGAATCATCCAGAGATGCAGCAGACAGAATACCCAAAGGCACTACAATTCTGCATGATTAAATGACCCAGTTCTGATGCAAGAGAAATTGATGCACTATGCAGAACTGGCTAAACTGACATACAAACTGCGAGACAAGGACAACTGTGACTTCAAAGAAGAGTGGGAACTTTTTACAAATTATCTAAAAAGACAACAAAATGAACTGGACTCCTTGGCAGGTTTTGAATAAACATACACAAATCTGTTGACGGTTGATATAGTAGATAGATAATATAAGGATTTTTACAATTCTACAGTACGCAGAAAACAATATGTGTTGAGAAATCAGAGAGAGGAGCTGAGGGAAGTCTTGGGGGGAGGGTTTGTTGGGGAGGTGGGGGGAAAGGTGGAAATAATGAAGATGATATGTTTTGATATTTTGTTATGGGTTTAAATTGCTAATAAAAAAATTAAAAAAATTAAAAATAATAAGCAAGGCCACTTTCACACCCCCCCCCAAAAAAAATTATCCAGTCCTATCCAACGAGCAGAAGCAGTTAAGATTTCCCAGTGAAAGCTGGAGAACCATGCAAAAATGCAATGGGTAACTTCACTTGGGGGGGGCACAGCAGGGGTTTATCCTCATTTTATATCACATGGTATACCAGCTGCTTCGTTGCGACACACCATTTAGGAATGTACTCGCCTAGCAATCACCTCTTTCATGACAGCTGCCGCCGAGAAGTGAGCCTGGTGGAGGATGAATGCTACCCTCCCCCAGAGATCTTAAAAAGGGCAGAAGCTACATAGAGTCGTAGGTTGGGAAGGAGCCACGAGGGTCATCAAATCCAGTCCCTTGCAAATGCAGGAATCTGGGCTGAACGGTGGGGTGGAGAGGCTCCTTCAGGAAGGCTTTCACTTGACAAGATTATTAAATTCTTTTTACTTCCTGCATAAATATTGCCGGGCAATACTTTTGCACAACTCGAAATAACGCAAGAGGGCAAAACAAAATAAAATTAGCAAGGAGAGGTTAAGCACAAGTTTCAGTTCAGTGTTGTTTTTATATTGGTTTCCCCCTTGAGTACCTGCAAAGTCTGATAGCAGGGGTCAGCAAACTTTTTCAGCAGGGGGCCGGTCCACTGTCCCTCAGACCTTGTGGGGGGCCGGACTATATTGGGGGGGGGAATGAACAAATTCCTATGCCCCATAAATAACCCAGAGATGCATTTTAAATAAAAGGACACATTCTACTCATGTAAAAACAAACTGATTCCCGGACCATCCGAAGGCGATTGGGCTGGATCAGGCCCGCAGGCCTTAGTTTGCCTACCCATGGTCTGATAGCAACACCAGGGCCACAGGCAGATCTAACTAATCCAAGTGTGGCTTAAACTCAGAGCAGCTAACTTACAGTTCAGAACCGTGATCTGGATTCCCAATCAATACTTTTTCTGCCATTGACCCCCCACCAATTTGTGCCATGGTGGCAAACAGCAAAGAAAACTTGCTGTATTTCTGGGGTAGTCAAAGACCAGTACCCAGCTGGGGATGCATATGGAGTCCTCCCTGGTTATTAGATTGATCGTTTGATGAGCAGAGAGGGGGAGATAAGCTGATCAGCTGGCATGGGGGGCTGTGTCCCCCCTTGGTGTGTCCTGTGTGTGCAGCATGCAACACACTTCTGGCTCGCCCTCAGGCCTGGTGCTGGAGAGGATGGGTGGCTGGGATAGAAGCAAGCCAGAACCTTCCCCTCTGGCTCTGATTTTAATCTGAGCTGAATTTAGATTCTCCATGTCTGCCTCTTCTTTGAAGAGAGAGCAATGAGCTCTCAAAGCTCATATCCTGACCTCCAGACACGTCAGGCTTGGTTGGCAGCATCTATATAGAAAGGCTGTGTTCTTCCACTGGGCTCCTCATATGAAGCTATGGTTCTTTTATTCTAAAGTCTTATTGGAGCAGAATCGGTTTGTTTCATTTATGCCCTTTCAGCCTTAAGGCAGGCCCCCAAGGTGGGCATGTGTCAAAAAAGATATAGATTAAAAACCACAATCCTTTATCACGGCAAGGCTCGCTCACTGTATATTTTCTGCGGATTGCTCCTTCGGATAACATAGCTGGGAACGCTGCCGATTCCCTCCTGGCCTCCCCACCGCTCAGCACAGGGCGAAAAAAACGAAGCACGAGTTTTATCGGATGTCGCCCCTCGCAAAACAAGAGCAATCGAAACAAGCAATAGACACTCAAGTGAAATAGGTCTTTATATTTCATACTTTACCAGTTATGTCATGCTGTTTGAATGACTCACTGTAGATTTGATACTGATTAGGGCAGTGTTTCTTCAGCCACTTGCACACATCCTGCTGGGTCCACAGCGCCACCGGCTTGGTCAGTTTCACAATATTAGACTGGAAAGGCAGAACAAGGAAAAAGGCCATTTAGAGCAGACGTCTTGTCCTGCTTGGGACATTTATTCTGTGCCTCGCCTTGTACCGAGACATCAACGCTCCAGAGCAGTCAACCTGGTGCCTTCCAAGATATTTTGGACTAAGACTTCCCTCCGCCCCAGCCATCATTCCAGAACATCTGGAGGGCACCAGGTTGGCTATGGCTGCTCCAGACTCAGTGCAGTCACAGGCATTCCTCTTTGAATGGAGCAGTCAACAAAAGGAGGGATCTCACCCTGGCACTTTTCCATATGGCTGGCAATTAATAAATCAGCACTTACAAGTGCAATGGACCCTCGGGTTGCGATCGTGATCCATGCGGGATGCACATTCGCAACCCGCAGCGTTCGTAACCTGCATCTGCGCACACGTGGGTTGCGATTTGGTGCTTCTGCGCATGCGCGACCGCCGAAACCTGGAAGTAACCCGTTCTGGTACTTCTGGGTTTCGGTGGCCCATAACCCAAAAAAACGCAACCTGAAGCATCTGTAACCCAAGGTATGACTGTACAGGTATCAGAGACATCTCAAGAGTTTAATGGCAGGTGGGAAAATATTACCAGACGTAATTTAGGTAACAATCGGGATAATCACTGAACATGCCACCCCATCTCAATTAATCTTCTTTAAGATGAAAAGCAATTGTGATCCGTTGGTCCTCTAACGGATCTTGAAAATGCAGCCTATACACACACACACATACCACACACACACACACACACACAAACATAGCATCATAGAATCGTAGAGATGGAAGGGACCCCAACCGTTGAGTCCAACGCCCTGCAATGCAGGAATCTCAACCATGACAGCTTAAAAATCTCCAAGAAAGGAGAGTCTACCACCTCCTGAAGGAGACTGTTCCACAGTAGAACAGCTCTTGTCACTCTGATACCAAGAGGTCACTGAGAAAGGTCTGAGAAAGATGCCTTGATATTAGGACAGCCATTAGGGCTTTGACTTTCCAAATGAGGAAAAAAATAACAACGGATCTGCATTGTTCAATTCAAAGTGTTGGGAAAACCTCAGGCCCACCGGGGCAATTGCACTCCCCAGGCCTCTCTGCTTAGTCCTTGGGACTCTACCGACCCAGTACATTTCCAAGCACAATTCAAAGTGTTGGTGCTGACCTTTAAAGCCCTAAACGGCCTCGGCCCAGTATACCTGAAGGAGTGTCTCCACCCCCATCGTTCAGCCCAGACGCTGAGGTCTAGCGCCGAGGGCCTTCTGGCGGTTCCCTCACTGCAAGAAGTGAAGCTACAGGGAACCAGGCATTTTCGGTAGTGGCGCCCTCCCTGTGGAACGCCTTCCCATCAAATGTCAAAGACATATTCTAACCTCTGCCTAAAAACTTCCAAGGAGGGAGAGTCCCCAGGGAAACCGTTCTAGTGTCGAACAGCTCTTACTATCAGAATGTTCTTCCTGATGTTTGGTCAGAATCTCCTTTCTTGTAACTTGAAGTCATTGGTTCGAGTCTGTCCTGCCCACTGGAGCAAGAGGAAACAAGCTTGCTCATCTTCCATATGCCCTTGAGAAATTTGAAGATGCCTATCATATCTCCCCTCCTCTTCTCCAGGCTAAACAACCATTACTCATCAGGCTAGGTTTCCAGGCCCCTTATCTTGATCACCCTCCTCTGCACACATTCCAGTTTATCAATAGCCTTCTTAATAATTCACATACGCAACAGCAGTTTTGAAGGGGGGAAAGCACTCTTTCCTTCTAATCTGGGACACAGAACCTGTGAAGCGGGACAGCAGAATGAAGAATTAAGAACCAGGACAGCATTCTCCAACCTGACACCATCCAGATGTTGTTGGACTAGAATTCCCTTCATCACTGACTAGTGGCCATGCTGGTTGGGGCTGATGGGAGTTTTGGTGTAACTTCTGGAGGGCACAAGTTTGGTAAAGAATGACCTCCTAAATGGCTTGTTTCCCCCCTCAACTGTTTTATTTTGTTCCTCAGAGTACATTACAAAAACAAGAACAATGAAATTTGCATACACGTAAGATATACAGTGGTACCTCGGGTTACAAATGCTTCAGGTTACAGACTCCGCTAACCCAGAAATAGTACCTTGGGTTAAGAACTTTGCTTCAGGATGAGAACAGAAATCGCGCGGCAGCGGCAGGCCCCATTAGCAAAAGTGGTATCTCAAGTTAAGAACAGTTTCAGGTTAAGAACAGACCTCTGGAATGAATTAAGTTCTTAACCCGAGGTACCACTGTACAGGGAAGAGGAAAAGAAAGCATAATTATGAAAAAAACCCCAACATAATTTTCTCAATTTATGAAAAGTACTTTAGCTGCAACTGATTTTCACTCATTTCCTTTCTCGTTTTGCAGGAAAATTGTCTGGGAGATACGAGTTTGTGTTTACACTTTATAACTTCAACTGAGTGTTGTCAAATCATCATCTTACAATCAGTCTCTTTTGTATGTCTTACTTTGTTTTTCAATATATATTCCATCCTTCAGTATTTCATCTCCTAGCGCGGCTAACCAAACAGCATTAAACAAAAATGACAAAACCGATCAAAACCGATCAAATTAAAACATATTGAAAACAGGCAGCACAAAAGCAATTCACAAGATATTTTGGAAGGCCTGGGAAAGAAGATATTTGCCTGGCATTGAAGAGACGTGAGGTTATGCATCTGGCAAGTTTCCTTGGGGAAAGGTTTCCAAGAAACGAGGCGAAAAAATCAAGAAGATGCCATCTGCCTAACCTCGGAAGACAACGACACCCAGAAGGACCTCAAAAGATTATCTCGGTTTCGTTTGTGTGGGAGAAGGCATCCCCAGATCTTCTTCAACTTCTTCACATCCCCAGATCTTCTTCTACTACTTCTAACACTACAACTAAAGGGCTACAGGCAACTCCTGTTTATGGAATTCTATTTGCGCAGAACTGCACATGTGTGCGGTGCCGGGTACCCAGAAGTGGTACCCAGGAATGGGAGCACCTGGTTAACTGAGCCCCACCACCCTTGCGGGAGCTGGAGGCCAGCTGATGTGCATGGGTGAAGTGAAGGACGTGAGGCAGGAGTTGATAATGCAGGTGAGCTGCACACAGGTGAGCTGCAAGCAAGCTGCCGGCCAGCTCTGTGCAGGCTCCTTTTATTGACACAATATGCAAACCCAGGCAGATACATTTTGGGCTGTGACCTTTGCACACCTTCCAATCCCGAGATCGTGGGGTGGTACAAAGCTATTTTGGCACCTGTTTCCACCACGTCATTTTCCCCTTGCACAATGTATGACGAAGGAGACAAAGGTCTCAGAGACGAAGGTCACAGACAGTACACGGCAGACTACTGAGACCGCAAAAGGTTAGACAGAGGGCAAGATGTTCAGACAGCTGTGGCCTTATTTGTGAGAGGGAGTGTACCCCGTACCCCAAGGTCACGCGTGCAGGCAGCTAAGGCTGCCTGCGGGCGGGGAGTGTGCTCCGCAGCCAGCGATCATTCCTACACATGGGGAATTTTACACAATTTCACATATGCACACAGAAGCCTGGAATGGAACCCCCACATAAATGGGAGTAGTCATCTGCACTAACCCTGATTCTACTTCCCATGTCGGACGCAGTATGCTTCTGAAAAACAGTCTCTGGAAAATGCAGGAAGGAGAATGCTGTTCCACTCAGGTCTTGATTTCCAGCTTCCCATAGTAGGCAATTGGGCAGGCCACTGTGAGAGAAAGAAATTGGACTAGATGGGCCTTTGGTCTGATCCAGAAGTGCCATCCTTATGTTCTTAGGTCACCGGGTCATTTATGGCTTTGCAGGTAATCCTTAGCACTTTGGAAAATTAAGCAGCAGCCAGTGCAGTTGTTTTAAACCTTCTTCTTCTTCTTCTTCTTATTATTATTATTATTATTTAATGAAAAGTGATCTAAAATAGAAGAGTGGCCAGACAAACAATAAGGGAGCCCTGGCAAAGTACTAACAATGTATTCACGAACACACTTGCTTGGCAGGCCTAGATTATTGTATTCTGTAGATTAAATGCCAATGAGTGCTCCTGCTGCAAGAATGTAATTATCACTGTTGAGGACAGCATGGGCTCCTCCCATTTGCTGGACCTCCAAAAACCTACAGCAGGGCGATGCATCCAGCAGCTCAAGGAACAATCTTCTCATTTTTAAACTGAGCACAGGAACACGGGCAGGGCAGAAACTGGGGGCTCAGCACGCTATTTCAGAAACCGTCTTTTCGCAGAATGGAACCGCATCTTCCTGTGGATCGGCGACAAATAATATATGCTTACTGTCACGTCAAACAGTGGGAAAGTGGGCAGTAACAATACATCCCTGAGGTTTGTGAAAAGCAGAGGAATTCAATCAGACAGAAAGCCAAATTTTGGAATTCTATAATCAGTGTCAATCTGATTATTATTTTTTGCAGCGTGTACAATAGCAGCAAGGCATGAAGATGCTTGCTGGAACAGACCAACAGCGCTAGTGCTGTATCCTGCTTCCCACAGGAGTCAAGATGAGAGCATAAGGGAATTCCTGTTGGACATACAGTACAGTACTGCGTTCCCACACTGGGCTATGGGAAACCCACAAAGAGGACAGGAGCGCAACAGCAATTTTCCAATGGGAACTACTGTATTTTTTGCTCTATAAGACTCACTTTTTCCCTCCTAAAAAGTAAGGGGAAATGTGTGTGCGTCTTATGGAGTGAATGCAGGCTTTCGCTGCACAGCGATCCCTCTTGTTGTTCTGGCTTCTGAGATTCAGAATATTTTTTTTCTTGTTTTCCTCTTCCAAAAACTAGATGCGTCTTATGGTCTGGTGCGTCTTATAGAGCAAAAAATATGGTAATTTATAACCATTGTAACCAGCAGCCACTGTGAGAGCCTTATTCTCCATGACTTTGTCTAATCCGCTTTCTTGTGGAAGCAATTTTATTTAACAATGTGTTTGTGTGAAAAATACACCATTTTCTCTGCCT